TGCATGATGCATAAAATAGCACAGAGGATGTATATATCATGTACATTGGTTGTGAACAATGGGCATTCTTTGTTGCTGATGTATATCTATTTTTATCATCAAGATTTATATGAATGTAAAAGGATATCAATTTGTTTTCTTCTTTTAAAAGGCCTAATTTTAAATAGTCCTGCAGTGTGACAAATTATTTAAATTTTTTTTAGTTTAGTCTCTCTATTGACATGGAAAATGCTAAAAGGCACATGCATAATTATTATAGATTAATTAGCAAAATGCTGTTAATAATTGTGGCGAATAGCATGGCATAGCATAGAACATGGACATTTCCCAAACGTATTTATCAACTACACTAATATAAAAAATCCATATAAAATAAATAAAATGTATAATATAAAAAGTCAAGAGTTAAGCAGCACTTTTAAAGTATAGAATATTAAATGTGGATTTGGTTGCTTAATTCCAGGTTTAAAAGGCTCTATAAACTCTGCTGCATATTGAACAGAGATGAGTTCTGTGATCAGGAGAAAGAAACACTTCTGTGACTATTGATCAGGAACAAATACTTTCAGACTTGGAAGAGAGTCTTTGGAATGTTGCTAAAAGTATAGAAATTCTACAAACACTTTGTGCCGTTGTGGCTTGTTGACTTTGGTGGCTGCTTGTTCTGGCCTTGAACAGTGTCTGAGCTGACAGCTGGAGCTCAGCATTTCAGGGCAAACAGTGTTCCTTGCTCGAAAGGCGTTCAACAGCACTTCTTGTGTTTAATTTTAGACCGTGATCCTGTAAGTCAACTATTTGTGCAAGTTCTAACAGGCAAGCAAGTCTTCCATGTTACTCCTCATATGCTGCTATAATGTAACGTAAGCCTTGATTTGAATTTTAAATTTATTTTTTAAAAAATCATCATATTTATATGAATAGGCAATAAAGGTTGATATCTTGCTTAATATTTAAGGAATAGTTCACCCAAAAATTTTAATTCGCTGAAAATGTTCTAACCCTCAGTTTATCTCAAATGTGGATGAGTTTTTCTTCATCAGAACAGATATTTTGTATTCCATCACTTGCTCATCATCGGATTCTCTGCAGTGAATGGGTGCTGTCAGAATGAGAGTCCAAACAGTTGATAAAAGCATCACGATAATCCGCAGGTAATCCACACGACACAATTCATTTTAAAATTAGTCCTATTTCCTGCTTTATCCAGTAAAAAGTTGTCTTATCTTAAGTATTTATTAATATTTTTTGTATTTACTGTAATGTTTTGATCAGCTGTTTGGACTCTCGTTCTGACGGCACCCATTCACTGCTATTTATCCATTGGTGAGCAAGTGATGTAATGCTAAATTTCTCCAAATCTGTTCCAGTGAAGAACTCTTCTACATCTTGGATGGCCTGCAGGGTGAGTATATGTTAAGCAAATATAAATTTTTGAGTGAACTGTTTCTTTAATTTAGAAATATGCTACTGTTCATTGTTCACCCTAGTTCATAGTGCTTTAAATCTTGCAAATATATAGCAGTTTTACTGTAAAAATTTTTATTTGTATGTATGTAGAAATGAACATGAAACTACTTTAATAAATGCTGTAAAATTATTTTTCATGTTTAATTCATGTTGGGTTAGATAATGTTAATGTATGCTAATATGTTGTTTGAGCTTTCTTATACATATTTTTTTTGCAGTAGGATTTACTGCTGCACTGCTTTGTGCATTCTTTGTGTTCACAAAAAACACATTACAGCAGCTCTGAAGTGATCTGGACCACAAAGCTGCTTAATCACAGTCACCAAGAAAATGCAACAATAATGTAAATGTTTCAGTACAGACTAGAGCTCTACTAAGACAAATGTGTGGCCATTAGTCACTAAACTCATGCAAGGGTTGACATATACAGTATGATTGTAATTGTTTGACAAAGTGTATTAGAAGATGCTAAGAGATGTTGACTTAATGATGACTGATAGTTAAATATTATATTTCATATGAGGCCTACAAGAAATTGACTGAAGAACCAGTGCCAATTTATATGAGACAGACGGTGCTAAAGCTACCTTTTAAACTCCATTTTTTGAAACTCCAAGGGTAGCCTATATAAAATTTGTATATATAATAAAATTTTATAGTATTATATAAATGTTATAATCCTAATAATTTAATATAAATAATAATGATAATAACGTTTAACATGCATGACTGTTCAAAAGTTTGTCAGTAACATATTTGAAAAAAAAAAGGTTTTATTCAGCGAGAAAACATTACATTGATCAAATGTGAGAGTAAAGATATTGGTAAAACTTATGTATAATGCATTATAAAGGGTTATTAAAGGCTATAATGCATTATGATTATTCATAATGTACATTGTAATACATTATATCGTCATAAATAATTATAAGTGAATTTAAAATGCATAGTGTAACAATGAATTCATAAGTGTTCATGTATTAACTCTGGTTACAATTATTCATGAGATTGTACAATGCATTATAAGGTGCATTACAAGGCATAATTAATGCATTAAAACTACTTTTATAATGCATTATGCATAAAAGCTTTAACTAAAGTGTTACCTTGCTACAAAAGATTTTGTTTTCAAATAAATGCTGTTTTTGTATTTCTATTTATCAAATTGTGCAAGTCCTGGAGGGGAAAAGTATCGCCGTTTCCAAGAAATATTGAGTAGCACAACTTGAACACCAATTCAAAATGATTTCTGAAGCATCATGTGAGACTGTAGAATAGTGGCTGCTAAAAATACAGCTTTGCCATAACCGGAATAAATGACATTTTTTAAATATATTCAAATGTTTTTGTAATTGTAATAATATTTCACTATATATATTACTATTTTTACTGTATTTTTATCAAATAAATGCAGCCTGGCTGAGCATAAAATACATTTTTTTTTAATCTTACTGACCCCAAATATTCTACTCATTTTTTTGAGTAACTTGATCATAAAAGAAAAAAATCAAGTGAAATGACTTTGCTATACAATATCTTCATGTGTATTGTTCTGCTGTAGGCCTATTTTGTAGCTGCACTTACTAACTGTATCGCTAACATTTGGTCTGAAGATTAAAGCCTTTTAATTTTTCGAGATCTTTTCTAATGCTCACTTTGTTTCAGCACTTTATCCAGAGTATACTTTGAGTCATTCCATCCCAGCAAGAAAAGAGGAACTTCAGCCATTCTGTCCACATTATTCATCTTCTCCTGCAAATAGGCCCTGTTTACCAGTCATTATGAATATGCCACACCTCCCGAATTACAGCCGTGCACCACAAGCTCTCACGAATGGCGATGATAGCTACCATACTGAATGAAATGTCAAGAAACGACATGCCCATTCAACAACAGGTTCCACCACAATCACCAAAGCACCCACCATATTTTTCCTGAAAGCAGTCGGAAGAGACCGAGCACTTACCGTGCGGTGGATCCATATGGGTACTGCCCTGAGCGTTCACATTGACCATGTTGTCTCTTCTGCTCCCCACCACTGCGTTTTACTGATTTTGCTCTATTAAGAGTGAAAGATGATGAAGAATTAACACATATAAGTTTTGCACAGTCCTCTGTTTCTGGTGAAGGTGTTGTTGGCGCAAGGTAAGGCCGGTACTCCTGTTATCTTATTGATTTTCCTAATCTGGGCAAATGTGGGTGGAGAGGTTAAACAGTAACCAGGCTTGTATAGAGACCAATCCATATGACAGCTGTAGCTATGGCAACAGGATGATAGAAAGTCAAATAGACAGTTTGTTATAATTTTTCTCCATTTCTCAAAGTCTGCATCTTTTAAAACTCCTGCCATATTCGGGAATGAATCATTAGGATAGGAAGAGTTTTGTTTAGTCAGGCACGAGGAGAAGGAAGGGTGTGAGAAATGAAAGGAGTGGAGGGTTTACACAGACTCATTTAGCTTTTCTGATTTGTCCGATTCCCATTACTTCGATAAGAAATAATCCAAATGTACTGTTTGACAACATGCCTCATATCAGCTTTCATTCCCGCAATACTGTAATTGTTTGTCTTTAACAGACTGACGGGGGTTAATTGTAACTCTTCTTCATCTTTGCCTTTGTGTTTGAAGCTTAGACACTTCACCATTAGACCAATGCCATCCAATTTTTATTTTATACAACTTGAGACATTCATATGAGGCCATATGCTTCAGTGAATATGCTGCCCCTTTTTCTTAACAGATGCTATGTTAGTTTCAAACGCTTTTCCCATGAATATAATGTGATGCTTTCTGACAGATGTGTTGCATTACACAAGTCTAATGTTGCTTTCACTTTTAAGCAGCTTCGTGGGAAAGTCAGTGTTTTGAAACTTTAGATTTTCCCCACTTGTAAAGAAACACCTACACTCTAAATTCTTCATTACCTTTGTGTCCATTTGCCTTATAATACTTATATGCAGCTCCATTAGTTTAAAAAAACACAGTGAATATTATTAGTAATATTGTGAAATGTTATTAAAAGTTCAAATAACTGTTTTCCTTTTGAATATATTTCAAAATGTAATTTGTGATGGCAAAGCAGAATATTTATGTGTACATTTGACTTATAATACTTAAATACGTACAAAAATACAGAAACGCATATTGTGAATATAATCAATAATATTGTGAAATATTATTAAAATGTTTAAATAACTGTTTTCTTTTTCAATATATTTTAAAATGTAATTTGTGATCTGAATTTTCAGCAGTTATTACTCCAGTCTTCGGTGTCACATGATCTTTCATTTGTCCTTCAAATCATCCCAACATGCTGATTTAGTGGGGGGAAATAAATAAATAAAACAATAAAAATGTTATTATTATCAATGTTGAAAACGGTTTCATTTTTCTATATATTTTTTTGTGGAACCTGTGATTCTCTGATGAATAGAGCGTCCGAAAGAACAGCATTTATTGTCACTTTTGATCAGATTACTAGGTCTTTGATGAATAAAAGAATTTCATAAAAAAAAAAAAAAA